CCGCCCCCCCCCCCCCCCCCCCAACTTCTACCATTAATCAAATCAAACCCTATAAAGAACTAAGAAATGCCTGCAAAATGCAAGGGACACAAACCTTTCTTCTGGAACCCTCCAAATCATCTTTCCTCTCCTATCCCCTTTCTATAGAAGAAGATCAGAAGACCACCGTGACTGCACAGGAACTCCCTGGATCTAGCTGAGAAAGAAGATCCTGGATCAGACAGACTGTTTTGCTATTCTGACTCAGGATCCTAACAGTCGAGGAATAAGGAAACTTGCTGCCTTGGAGGGAAGCAGGAGGAACAACAGAAAGAATAAATTTCAGAAGGGTAATTTGGTTCATGAATAGGTCGTTCTGACCCAACGACAGAGGTAGATCTGTCAGTGTGTAGAACTTCAGATCCTAGAGTTAGCTCAGTGACAGCCAGCAGCTATCGAAGGAGAAAGGAATTGCAAAGGTTGGCAGGAAAGGGAAAGAAATACAAACTCTGAATGCAGTCATCAAGATTGGGGTTGGAGCCAGGCTAAGGAAGCTGACGTGACCGAACGCCCAGGGAGCAAATGTAAAGGGCAAGAAAAAATGGTCGGTCAGAACAAAGAGGGGAAAATGTTCTCCTCAATCACCTGAGCCAGTTTCCCAACAGAAATGTAATAACTCCTCTTCTGTGCCTTGGATGGACGGCTCAGTTCCAGCAATTCATGCCAGCATGACCCTGCACAATGGAGATCAGCCTCCTGGCTCTTAAAAGTGCTTGAAGTTGCAAGTGTTCTCATCAAACATGGATTAAAAAGACATTTGCCAGGCTGGCCTGAGGGAGATGTAAAGTACCTTCAGTTAATATTCCTTAAGTTTTTCTCCTTTATCTATTTCCTGTTTTATTTACTGAGAGAGGGATACATTGAGCTAATTTCACTTTCATGGGGGCATTCTTTTTTTTTTTTTTTTTCACTTTCACAGATTGAATTTCAGTGATAAAACATTTAAAATATACTGGAGCTGGATTTGAGGTTCAAATATTTCCAGTCCAGTTCTCAGGCCAAAAGGGAAGATGGCCTCCATTCAAAATGGCTACAACCCAAGGAAATAAGAGACAAAGAACGGGAACAAGAAGGAGGAATGGGTAGGAAACATAAAACCAGTATTTTGTGGGATTTAAAACCACATTATGTCCCTTGCTTTTGGGAACATTCGTTAAAGTGTGAAAGCTGGATTTGATGCTGGATAGCCATCAGCTTGATAATGATACGACTCAAAGCCCTGGAAAAGCTAACAGAAAAGTATTTCTCACCTAGACAGGGCAGCACTTTTCTTAGTGATTTGAAATTAAATTTATAAAGAAAAAGTAATATTTTGGGAATATAGAAGAAT